GGCCATATAGTCTAAATTATGTGCTGGCTCATACATCTCAAACTAGTTATATACATATACATAAATTTTCCACTTTTCATGAAAATATCATCCCCCACATTTCACTTGTGTTCTCATTTCGATGTAATTTAAGTTTTAGTAGTTTCAGTCCATTAACTATTTCAATTTATAATGTTGAGTTTTCTATATTTATTTTTCTTTTTATTATCATAATTTTTCTAAGGATATCAAATTGAGACAAAAAACGAATCAAAAGGTTGCTACGCAACACTTTTGATTCGTTTTTTGTCTCAATTTGATATTCTTACAGACTTTGCATTCGATAATTAATTTTAAAAAAGTAGCTATCAAACTAAAAAAAGTAGTAAAAAAGTAGCTATCGAAAAATTAAACTTGACGACAAAAAAAAAACTCGTTTTAAAAACTTTACAAAACTGACAAAAATTCAATATATTCTATATTCTATTTTTCTGACTTTTTTTTCTAATTTTCATAAAAAATATTTACGTTTCTTTCTTATCCTGCTTATAAATTGAATTCCTGAAACGAATTTTATTATTCATGAAAGAATTTAAATATTTAATTCTTGCGAAGAATTTTATAAAAATTTTTAAATAATTGATTTCTTTCGACTAATTTTATGCAAATTCTAATTTAAATAATTGAATTCCTATGCAATTTTTATTATTCATGAAAAAAGTTGAATTCTTGCAAATGATTTTTACAAAATTTTTCTTAACCTCGTTATCCAACAAAAATCACTGAATTGAGCAAAGTTTTTCAAAATAATTAAATTTTACATTTTTTCTTTTACATTTTTACAATTTTTTTTTTTAATTTTTATTTTTAAAGAATTCTATTAACATTTTTGAGAATAATTGAATGTCTGTGTGGTATTTTATTAAAATTTTTTGAAAATAATTGAATTCCTAAAAAGCATTTTATTATTTATGAAAATAATTAAATTCTTGCGAATGAATTTATTAGAATTTATGTAAATAATTGGATTTTTAAGAAAAAATTTATTACTTTTAAAAATAATTGAATTCTTGTGATGAATATTGTTATTTCTGAAAATAATTGAATTTTGCAAAGAATTTTATTAAAATTCCTCAAAATAATTGAATTTTAGAGAATAATTTTGTTATTTATGACCATAATTGAATTCTATGGAAGAATTATTTATGTAAATAATTGAATTCTTGGGAAGAATTTGATTAAAATTTAAATCAATAATTGAATTATTTTAAAAAAATGTAATTAAAATTGCATCTAAAATAATTGATTTCTTTTGAACAATTTTATTAAAATATTTGAAGATAATTGTTTTTTTCGAGGAATTGAAATTAAATTTTTAAGAATAATTACACATTTTTAGGAATTGTTGTAAAATTGTATTAAAAATAATTGAATTCTTGTGATGAATATTGTTATTTATGAAAATAATTGAATTTTACAAAGAATTTTTAAAAAATGCCTAAAAAATAATTGATATTTGAAAATAATTGAATTCTTGTGAAAAATTCTAATATTTTTGTAAATAATTGAATTCTTTCAAAGAATTTTAAAAAAACATTTTTTTAAATAATTGATTTTTTCGAGGAATTGAAATTAAATTTTTAAGAATAATTACATTTTTTTGAGCAATTTCTGTAAAATTGTATTAAAAATAATTGAAATCAAGCGATGAATTTGATTATTTATGAAAATAATAAAATAGTTACAAAGAATTTTATTAAAATTTTCAAAAATAATTGAATCCCTGAGAAGAATTTGATTATTTATGAAAATAATGAAATAATTACAAAAAATTTTATTTAAGTTTTCAATAATAATGGAATTCCTAAGAAGAATTTTATTATTTATGAAAATAAATGAATTCTTGCTTAGAATTTTATCAGAAATTTTTTAAAAAATTGAATTTCCATGAAAAATGTCATTATTAGTGAAAGTAATTGACTTATTGTGAAGAATTGTGTACAAATTTTGTTAAATAATTGATTTTTTCGAAATTTTTTTGAAAATGCTATTCTAAATTAATTGAATTTTTGTAGAAATTTTTTTATTTATGAAAATAATTGAATTTTGGATGAATTTTATCAATTGTTTTTTTAAATAATTTAATTCTTTGCGAAATTTTATAAAAATAAAGAATTTTATTAAAATGACTAAAAAATAATTGAATTTTCGAGAATAATTTTGCTATTTATCGATATAGTTGAATTCTTTCGAAAAATTATTTATGTAAATAATTAAATTCTTGAGAAGAATTTTATTAAAATCTAAAAGAATAATTGAATTATTTCAAAAAAATTTAATTAATATTGTATTTAAAATAATAACTTTCTTTCGAACAATTTGATTAAAATATTTGAAAATAATTGAATTCCTGTGAAAAATTCTAATATTTTTCACTTTTGTAAATAATTGAGTTCTTTTAAAGGATTTAAAAAAAATATTTTTTTAAATAATTGTTTTTTTCGAGGAATTAAAATTAAATTTTTAAGAATAATTACATTTTTTGATCAATTCTTGTAAAATTTTATTAAAAATAATTGAAATCGATCAATAAATTTGATTATTGATGAAAATAATGAAATAGTTACAAAGAATTTTATTAAAATTTTTCAAAAATAATTGAATTCCTAAAAAGAATTTGATTATTTATGAAAATAATGAAATACTTACAAAGAATTTTATTTAAATTATCAAAAATAATTGATTTCTTAAGAAGAATTTTATTATTTATGAACATAATTGAATTATTGTGAAAAATTTTATTAAAATGTTTAAAAAGAATTGAATTCGTTTGAAAAATTTTATTATTTTTGAAAATAATTGAATTCTTCATAAGAATTTTATAAACATTGTTATAAATAATTAATTTTTTCTGAAAGATAATAAATATTATGAAAATTTTATTTTAAATATTTGAATTCTTGTGGAAAACTTTATTTGTGAAAATAATTGAATTTGTCGATTCATTAATTTAAAACAGTATTAAAAATAATTGAAATTCTTCGATGAGTTTCATTATTCATGAACATAATTGAATTCTTAGAATTTTATCAAAAATTATTTTAAATAATTGAATTGAATTTCTATGAAAAATCTAATAATTAGTGAAAGTAATTGAATTATTGTGAAGAATTGTATAACAATTTTGTTAAATAATTGATTTATTTGAAAATTTTATTCTAAATGAATTGAATTCCTGTGGAAATTTTGATTATTTATGAAAATAATTGAATATCATAATTTTATGAAAATACTAGATATTGGAAATAATTGTATTTCGAATATTTTTTTAAAATAATTGAATCATTTTAAGGAATTTGATTACAATTTTTTAGAATAGTTTTTAGATTTCTAGTATTAGCGAATTTAAAGTAGTGGAAATTCTCAAAAAAATAGTGACTAAAATCTAAAAAAAGTAACCAAATAGTAACACAATTGAAAAAAAGTAGTAAATAAGTAGTAAATAAGTAGTAGTAAAATTTCAATTAGAAATCAAAGAAGAAAAAATTTTCTCATTCAAATATAAAAATTTTGTTATTTCGATTAAATTTTTAATAAGAAATTATTCATAAATCCTAACAATATATTGAATTGACGATAAAAAACTAATGGAGGTTCACTTTCATATGTATACATACATGGAAAAGTTAACCGAATGAATGAAACTGTGGACATTCGAAATTGGTTTTGAAAATTTCTGAATAGTCATTGTCGTAAAAGAAGTACTTATTTTGGATGAGAGAATTTTCTATTTAAGGTCTCTTTATGTGTATTTTTGTGAGAGAGAGAGTGTGTGTGTGTGTATTTTCATGACAGTTGTGCACAACTTTTTGGAATAGTGCGCGTATGAGAAAGAACAATATATGTGCACATGGCACATTTTGTTTGGATGTTTTAAAGTTTATAACGTTATATCGCCACAGCAAGGGATTTTACTTGTGGATATATAGTTGCGCACAGCTTTATGATAATAACTCAGAAATATACAACTTTTATAACTATATATGTATATGCTCCAGCACAGATGTACGATTTTCACAGTTCTTTCATTTAGCCAAGAAATATTTGGACTATAATTTAAAGTATCTGACTGTCAATAAAAAATAAATGATTTTCAGTTATTTTTTTAAACTTATTATTTTGGACTAAAAATTTAAAAAGTTTTTATATAAGATGAAAAAAGAATTTAAGTTTCAAATATCAGCAAAATAATTAATTACCTATTAACAATAATTTTCAAGCTTTATTCAAAACCTCTACGTAGGAAATTTACAAAAAAATTTATTTTAAAAAAAAATAAGTTACCATCCTATTAAAAAAAATTCTACGAAATTTAACTGTTCGAAAAAGAATCACGTTTGTATAAATTTCATTTTTAAGACAGAGAATCTGACAGTAAAAATAAAACTTAATAGAATTGTACCTATTTTTTTTTCAATTTAAAAAAGTGAATAACGAATTTATTTTCAACATTGCGTTCGGATAAAAATATAAAAATATTCCATAAAATTCAGCTGTAATAACCAGAAAGAATTGGAATTTTTTTTCTTACTGTTTTTAGTTAAAAATAATTAAAAGTACAAAAATATACCATATAATTTTGATTCGTCTGTCAGTCATTCTTCTTTGCATGAAAAAAATTAGCAGAAATTAAAATTCAGCAAAACTGAAAATTTCTCTATAAATTTTACTACATCATAAATTAAAAATTGAATATTCACCTTCATTGTGAACTACTATATAAAGTTTCAAATAGAAAGTATATAAATTTTCATCTTAATTTTCAAAAAACGCCCGAGTCATAAAATATGTTATCAAAATTTCGATCGAATACGCTTATATTAAAAAAGAAAGGACTTTCAATGAAGTTGGTGGTTTTAAGTTTAAAAGGGGCAAGTTCTCGATTAACCAAGTCACGTTTGATAATATATGAATACCACAGCTAGTTTCCATATTAATTAGATATGCATTTTGCTGCTTACCTTTAACGGCGTTAAGTTTGTTTCCGACCATCTGCTTCGCCACGAAAGCCGCCATTTTGATGTCCTTTAGTGCTTTCTAGTTTTTGATTCCTCGAGATACTGCAAACAAAAAATAAAATATGAAAAAAAATATAAACAATAAGAAAAGAAAAAAAAACCACTAATAGGAAACAAATTATTTTTGTAAATAAATAAAAGTGAAATAATCTTTCTTTCCCCAACTTTATTTTCTCTAATTGTATCAATTAATAAAAATAACATACAATTTATTTATTATTGTAATTTATTGTAAATATTTTATTTTTATAAGAAACGCATGGCTAGAACTAGGTCCGTAAATCCGTAAATCCCGTAAAAATGTAATTATTCTTAAAAATTATATTAAAATTAATCAAAGAAATTCAATTTGTTTAAAAACTTGCTACAATTTATTTATTTGAATTTAAGTATTATTTTAAATAGAGTTTTAATTAAATTTCTTCAAAATGTTAAATTATTCTCAACAATTTTAATGAAATTCTTTATAACAATTCAATTTTTTTCCAAATAATTTTAATAAAGCTCTTTATAGAAATTTAATTAATTGCAAAAATTTGTCAAAATTCAATTATTTTTAATGTCTACTATTTCAATAAAATTTTACAAAAGAATTCAATTATTTCAAAAGAAATTTTAAACTCTAAAATTCGTCTCAAGAATTCAATTATTTTCAAAAATAATAAAATTCTTCGCAGAAATTCAATTATCTATGTTCAAAAATTAAACTAAATTCTCTTCAAAATTTCAATTATCTTTAGAAATGATTAAATTCTTCTCCGAAATACAATTTTTTTTAAAAAATTTTAATAAAATTCTTGGAAAAATTTCAATTATTTTCAAAAATTTTCAATAAAATCAATTCAATGATTTTTAATATCTGCTATTTTAATGAAATTTCCCAAAAGAATTCAACTATTAAAAAAAAAATTTAATAAAATTCTACGCAAACATTTAATTATTTTTTTCAGAAAATAATAAGAATTTCACAAGAATTCAATTATTTTCATAAATAATAAAATTTCTACAGGGATTCAATTATTAATTTCCGACATAATAAAAATCTTTTTAGGAATTCAATTATCTTCGTATATAATAAAATTCATTGTGGAATTTCAATTATTTTTAATAGAATTTTAAACGAATTCCTCGAAAAATGTAATTAGGACTTATTAAATTTTAAGAAACATTCAAATATTCAATAAATTATTTTTTTTGTATTTAAATAATTGAATTCTAAAAGAATTTATCATAATAAAAATAGATTTAAAAATGAATTTCTGTTAAAAACAAATTAATTTGAAAATTCTTAAAAAAATTTTTTCAAATATTATTTAAAATAATGGATTTATAGAAAAATTTTAGTAAAAAATACTAAAAAAATTGAATTTCGAAGAAGTTACAAATGATTGCAAATTGCAAAAATTCAATTATTTTTAAAAGTAATAAAATTCTTATAACAAAATTCAATTATGTTCAAAATTTACAAAAAAATCTCGACAAAATCTTAATTATTATCTTTATAAATAAAAGAATTCTTCTTCAAAATTCAATTATTTTCAAAAATATTAATAAAATTCTAGTTTAAAAATTTTAGTTAAAAACACTAAAAAATATTTAATTGTGGAGAAGTTACAAATTATTGCAGAAATTCAATTATTTTCAAGAGTAATAAAATCCTTAACAGAAATTTAATTCTTTTCAAAAGTAGTAAAATTCTTTTTAGGAATTCAATTATTTTTACCAATAATAAAATTCATCTCAGAATTTCAATTATTTTTAATACAATTTTACAGGAATTGCTCAAAAAATGTAATTATTCTTAAAAATTTAATTTCAATTCCTTGAAAAAATCAATTATTTACAAATATGTTTTTTTTAAATCTTCAGTAGAATTCTTTAATTAAAAAAATATTAAAACTTTTCACAGGAATTCAATTATCTTCAAATATTTTTAAAAATTGTTCCAAAGAAATCAATTATTTTAGATAGAATTTTAATTAAATTTTTTTGAAATAATTTAATTATTCTTTTAGGATTTAATAAAATTCTTCTCAAGAATTCAATTATTTACATAAATATTTCTTCGAAAAAATTCAATTATATCGATAAATAACAAAATAATTCTCGAAAATTCAATTATTTTGAGGAATTTTTATAAAATTCTTTGCAAAATTCAATTATTTTCATAAATAACAATATTCATCACAAGTATAGGTATTCAATTATTTTTAAAAGTAATAAATTTTTTCTTAGAAATTCAATTATTTTACCAAAATTTTTATAAAATTGTTCGCAAAAATTTAATTATTTTCTTAAATAATAAAATTCTTTTTAGGAATTTCAATTATTTTCATAAAAAAATAAAACTCATCGCAGAATTTTAATTATTTTTAATACAATTTTAATCGAATTTGTCAAAAATGTAATTATTCTTAAAAATTTTATTAAAATGCGACTAAAGTAATTCAATTATTTTAAGATTTGTTCATAAAATTCTTTAGGAGAATTCAATTTTGACTAAAATTCAATTATTCAATAAATTATTTATTTTTGTATTCCGATAATTAAATTCTAGTAGAATTTTCTAATAAAAATTGATTTAAAAATGAATTTCATTTAAAATTTTAGATTAATAATTGAATATTAAATGCAATATAGCGTGGATTTTTTTAGAAATAATTGAATTTCGAAATTAATTGTCTTGAAAAGGGTGCAGTTGAATTGTTTTTATATTATTTGAAGTTTTTATATTCTAATATTTATTTAATTGAAGAATTTACGAATAATTGAAATTCGTAAACTGAATATTGTAAATAAATGGATTTTAAAAATTGTTGATGAACTTTTTCGAAAATTAATTAATTGATTTAATGAAAAATTTTAGTAAAAAATTTTTAAAAATAATAATTCAATTGAAATGATGAAAATAATTTTGATGAAGTACAATATTCTGATAATATAAAGTTATAATTTTATCAATTTGCCATCTTTAATTATTATAAAATATGAAGAAATCGATCACTCCGAGTCGAAGACTCGGAGTTATCGATTTCTTCATGTTTTATATTTATGAAAAATTTAATTTATAGTTTTAAGTAAAATTTTCTCTTATTTGATCCGAACTGGTTATATTTTTGTCAGTTATCGTAATTTTTCATTTTTGGTCCGTAAAATCCGTATGAAATTCAAAAAAAAAATTAATTAATAATATATTTAGTACCTATATGAATAATATATAATTAATTAATATCTAGATAAATTAATATCTAGAGTAAAAATTCATGTATTTTCCGACTGGGAAAGAATATATTCTTTTTCTCCTTAAATATAGTTTTTTTTTATTTTTGCATTTTAAAATTTATACATATTTTTCCGTAATGAGAAATAAATGGGCGACAACAAGTGATAAGAAAAAATAAGAGGGTGAAAAAAGTGGACTGTATATCTATGTAATATTTAAGAGTGATTGTTGAGTGGTTATGCTTAAATGCGATGTTGAGAAAACATTTCATGTTCATTTGAAAAGGCGCCGAGACGTCTCGACGCCCATCGTCGACGTCTTCTCAGCCTCTCTTTCACAGCCTTTAGTTATTGATCTCATGGCCCAAAGAACGTCACCCGATCCGTGGCTTCACTATGTTTGTTTGCTATTTTCTTAACATACAAATTCTCATCTCGCATATATGAAAAATTCCCCCTTACATTTAATCCACTTGGTCATTATTTTTTTCTCTATTTCCTCTAATAATTTTTAATCCTTCATTTTTCATCTACATACCGAAAAGCTATTCTGCTATTTTGCTTTTTAAGAAAACTTTTCTAAAACTTTATTAGAAAGTGTATTTTTACAATTTTTGAATTTTACTTCAAAAGATTTTTATTTTCACTTTCATTTTCACTTTCATCATTTACCTTTACTTTTATTTTCATTTTTACTTGATTTTTAGTTCATAAATTTTTATTTTCCCTTAAATTTTTATTTTTATTTTCAATATCACTTTAATAGATTTTCTACACTTTCACTTTGAGACTGATGTTTTATTTTCACTCTCAATGAAAGTAAAAGTGAAAATAAAAGTAAAAGTTGAGAAAAAATTTATTAAAGTGACAGTGAAAATTAATATCTGGCAAAGTTAAAATGAAAATTCATTTTTTTTCTTTTAATTTCATTTAGATACAGTATTTATAATTTTAATTTTCAAAATTTCATTTACAGAAAAATATGACTAGATTTTTAATAAATTAAATAGAAATGAAATTAATAGATGAAAAAATGTGGGTGAAAAATTTAAGAGAAAAAATATTCCATTTGTGAATTAATTCGTTTGATGCCAGTAGTAAAAGAGAATTTATGGTCAGACAAAATTTTTCTGCCTCAGGACAAAAGTAGAAAAAGAAAATTTTAATCAGACATAATTTTTTCGAGTTGTAATTAATATTTTCTTAAAAACTTTTTTTCTTTTTGGTTTATTCTTATCACTTCGTTTATTAAAGATTTTCTGATGAGAAAAAAATAGAGATTTTTTTTTGTGTTTTTTATATATTTAAAGATTGTTATAACGCCATAGAAAGTAGGTGTAGATGAGATTAAAATTCTTTCTCTTGAAGTGAAATATATTTCATTTTAGACGCGTATAGAAAAGAAAAAAAAATTTATTCTATCCCTTTTTTTTCTCACTGTGTGAAATTACTCGTTTGTAGGTTGACGTTTATTCCATTCGTTCCAACCATAGAAATTTGTGAGAAGCTTGTTTATGGTTTTCAACTTTACGGCGTATATACTAGTGCTACACTCCATCACAATATTTGCGAACTTCCTGTTTTTCGTAGAGTCTATTTTATTGGATACTCTTTTTTTTAACCTAGAAAGCGCCAATAAAAAAGCCCTTACTCACGAAAATGTTTTCTTATAAACATTTTTGTTTAACGTCATTTTCAAAATGGATTCAATTTATAGAGCGGGAAAATGAGAAGATTGTACCTGTGATTTTCAATTTTTCCTATTTTACTATTGAATTTTTCCTTTTCGTTTCAAGTAAATAAATTCTATATAGAATTTC